GCATTTTTGCTGCTGTGGCTACTTCTCTCACACATCGAGAGAGGTTCACTTCACACAACAAGAATACAAAGTTAAACTGAGTTTAGTCATAAAGGCTGCAGTTAGGCTTAGAAGGACAAACTGTGGAGGACTTAATTTAATTATGGATTTATTTCCTGTTCTGTAGCTACTGCACTTTTCTTTGCTAAAATAATGATGACTTCCAATGTTTGTCTGTTTTCCAGCCTGAGGGCGTGCTGGTTAAACATCCAAAGATTGTGACTTTAGATCCTGTTAAGAAAGGAGACAGTGAGTTTATCTATTAAAAAGCTAGATTCTAATTATTAAGTCACACACTGATTTTCACCTTAATAAAACCTTTTTTTCTCTGTTTAGATGGTGTACAGAATGAAGTTCTTAACAGTGGAATTCAAAGGAAAGATTTGGTTCCAAACACACCTACTAGCACACAGATCTCTGTGACAGGTGAGAAATATTTAATATTTATGCAGTTTATGTGATTCAGTGGCTATATCACCCTGAAGCTTCTATTATATATTGTTATTGTTGACATTCGGGACTGACTACCTTAATGGGTGTTGTGAACCTTTTTTGTATGTGTATGCATGCAGGGAGAGAACAAGTATCTCAGCTGGTGGAGAATGCCATTGGCGGCAACTCAATGGGTACTCTAATCAGACAACCCTCGGGCTGTGGAGAGCAGAACATGATCTCAATGACCCTGCCTGTTATTGCAACCTTGTATTTGGACAAAACCAACCAATGGGAAACTGTGGGCTTTGAGAAACGTAATGAAGCTCTCCAACATATAAAAACTGGTAGGCTCTCACAGATGTACATGAATTCTTTGGTAACACAATAAACACACAGAGCGCCTCAAAATTGTTTCTAATTGATAAGAGTCAGATGCAAGTTGAATAGCAGTGAAGTAAAAAGATTGTTTTATTTCTTTAATTGTTTCATCAAGGTTACACAAACGAGTTGGCCTTCCGTAAAAATGATGGATCGTTTGCTGCATTTGTTTCTCGCCCAGCTAGCACCTGGTGAGGCACCCACAAACATCCATGAATTCATACATAATATTTTGCACATGCTGCTTTAATTTCTGATTTTGCAAAGCCAATTTATAGTAAGGGCAAATAAATTATATTAAGCTATTGTATCCCCTCTTCCTGTCTATAAGGCTGACTGCCTATGTTGCCAAGGTGTTTGCAATGGCCCATCATCTGGTTGCAATACAAGATAATGTGATCTGTGATGCTGTCAAGTACCTTATTCTCAAAGGACAACAACCTGATGGTGTTTTCAAAGAATTTGCAGCTGTATTGCAGTGAGCGATGAATGTGAGTGCACTGATTTTATTAACACCAGTTCTTCATCTATACTTAAAATACAAAATAACTTATAACTAAATGAGAAACCAGTTATACAACTGCCAATCAGCTTTTATAAATATTTAAAAAAGTTCTGTTAGAAATAATAATAATATGTTTGTGCTTCATCTGTAGGGTGATGTGGCCGGCTTAGATTCAGACGCCTCCATGACAGCTTTCTGCCTCATTGCAATGCAAGAGTCACGCTCAATATGTTCCGACACTGTCAACGTGAGTATTTCACCTGCAAACATTGTTGTTACAAAGTATCTAAAATGATCAAACGGTGATACTTTCTATTGCACTTGCATTGAAGATTTAAACCACAGACCAGCAAAAACAGACAGAATTTAATTAATTTCACCAACATGTTCTGTAGGCTCACAAAAGGATGAAGAACATTATGTTCCGTTTTCCTGTCACTCATTATCTTCCTTTCTTTTTCCTTTTTTCATCTGCCCAGAGTCTCCCAGGCAGTATAGACAAAGCAGTGGCCTACCTGGAGAGGCGCCTGCCCAGCCTCACCAACCCTTATGCTGTGGCCATGACATCATATGCACTGGCTAATGAAAACAAATTGAACAAAGAGATCCTATTCAAGTTTGTTTCCCCAGGTATGTTCACACACACACACACACACACACACACACACACACACACACACACACACACACACACATGCAATGTGGGACCAAGGGCATCCTGGTATTGTTAGGGAATGCAGCTGACTAACTTGAGGGGTGTGAGAGGTTTTCCTTTGAGCACAAGTGGAGAGGGCAGACACATGCTCCAAAACCCTTATTCAGACTTGGCCACCAAAAGAAACACTGGAGAAAAGTTAATGTTCAATGGTCAATGTGGTGAAAGTAAAAGTATATCTTTATGGAAAATTTCTGAAATTTTGTGATAAACCTGCAGAATAGAGGATAATTCAAGTGGTTCGGAGGATACAGAGATGTTAACTGGTTTTCTGGGAGATGTGGCTGATTTTAGACAGAGGTGATAGCCATTGTTCTGCCACAAATGAGGGAATTCCTCTAGCTTGAATAGAAAGCCGATCATCTGAAGACTACCACGAGGTGATTGTTTTAACTCTTGGTGTTCGGACATGAGATGCGGGAAATAGAGGAAGGACTTTCCCTTGGAACAGAAGGCGTGGTTAGAGGGACACACAGTGAACACACACACACACTGACAGAGGGAGATGAGCGAGAGAGAGTTGAGGAGAGACAGACAGAAGTGGGTGAAAAGCACTGAAGACTGGAAGACCATGACTTTTGTTATTCATGAATTTTAAAATTTACTTTTTTATAAAATATCTGAAAAAATCTCATCAATTTTCTTGTGTTCCTGAAAATTTTACTTATTGAATATTATACTTGATTCATTTCTGACTTCTCAGTAAAATCTAGTGTGCCTACTCGAATTTGGGTATATATTTATCAATTTACTTTTATCTAATGAATACCAGTATTTTTTTTAACTTGAAAAAAGTTTTTACATTTTTTCTAAAATATTTCTGTTTTATATTATAGTAATAAAAATGTACTTGTGTGACTGTGTCTGTCAGAGCTATCTCACTGGCCTGTACCTAGAGGCCGTATTTACACTTTGGAAGCCACAGCTTATGCTCTTCTTGCTCTTGTCAAGTCTCAGGTGAGCATGTCCAAATTATATCATCCATCTGTCATTCATGTGTCTCTAAAATATTATAGGTTTTGGACACAAAATCATTGAAAATTTACTTTACAGTATTTAAATACCATTGCTGACCATTCCAGAGTTACCATTTATTTAACTGTGAAATTCCAGCTCAATGAAGATAATTTCTCCATTTATTTTTATGTTGTGTTATTATTGTGTGCAAATACAAATTAAAACAAATAAGACATTGCTTTGTACAGAGTCGTTATGAACTATGAAAAACACTGCATTTTCTTTCATTAGGCAAGTTTCTGGACTGGATTTTAATTATACCCAAATAAAAAGCAGATTAGAAAGCCTAAAACTCAGAAATACCTTTGAAAAATGTTTTTCCATAATTTATTTTAACACTCTACTCCTGTCTTGTGCTGTTTTAATAAAGAACTTTGAAGATGCCAGACCTGTTGTGAGATGGTTCAACGCACAACAGAAGGTGGGAGGAGGCTATGGATCAACTCAGGTAACACAAAACTTCCTGTCAATCAAGATATCATAGGCAGATATTTTATACATATTATCCCACCTTATAACCTTTGCCTTTCTTTATCTCCCCCACTTTTCTTCTCTCCAGGCTACTATAATGGTCTATCAAGCTGTAGCAGAGTACTGGATCAACGCTAACGAACCACAGTATGATCTGAATGTGGACATCAAGTTGCCAGGAAGGTCGGCACCTGAAAAGTACAATTTCAATCAGAACAACCACTATGCCACAAGAACGTCTAAGGTGAGAAGAAGCAACACAAACACAGTCACCATGTAGCACAATTTGTCAGTCTGAAAACATGTCCTCTAGCAGTAAATAAATCTCAGTACTGCTAGTGTTTCTGTCTTTTTGGCAATCCATCTCACCACTCTGCAAGCTTTTTGGTCTATTTCCTTTTTCCTGTCTAACAGACATTCAATGCAATTTAAATTCAGTCAGTGGGAGCAAAGTGAGCTTATCTCTTTTTTTTTCTCATAATATGTACAAACACATCTTTGTGTGTTTGTACATATTAATCCCAACAGATTAACGATATAAACCAGGACATCACAGTTACTGCTAGGGGAACAGGAGAAGCAACAGTGACAGTAAGTTATCTGTTAGTTGATCATTTCAGAATCCTAGACAAAGCTTTTTAAACCTTAAAAGAACAGTATTACAAAGACTTATTTATCACACAATATAAAAACACACTTTTTCTGATGCAACAGTTGGTATCACTGTATTACGCTAAGCCCAAAGAACGGGAGAGTGACTGCCAGAATTTTACCCTCAAAGTGGATCTCGTAGAAGGTACTTTGATGTCCTTTATCTCCTCTTTTTATTTTACTTATCTCATTAAATCTGTTTGCTTCAGTTTATGGCATTTTATTTGTTTGTGCTCATTTTTTCTTTTTCCTTATTCTTTCAGAAAAATCTAATGCAGATGAAAAGATATACAAACTTAGGATAGAGGTCATGTAAGTACAATATAAACTACACTTTAGAAATAGTTTTGGCTTAATTGGATTTTTTTGTTCCCGTCCATTTAACTCTGCTGTCATTTGAATCATTCTTATCATTCTCTCTACAGGTATAAGAACAGGGATCGTGATGCAGGCATGTCAATCTTGGATATTGGCTTACTAACTGGTTTTGCTGTTGAAACAAAAGACCTGGATTTGGTAAGAAGTTATGTTAATGTTATGTGGTTACAGTTAACCAAAATAATAAGACCTCTTAATGTTTAAAAATTTGTCTTTTTGTGTGTCTCTAGTTGTCTAGAGGACGTGGCCGCACCATATCAAAATATGAGATGAACAAAGCCCTGTCAGAAAGAGGCTCACTCATCATTTACTTGGACAAGGTTGGAAATCACTCCAATCGTTCTTCCTATCCCCCTTTTTTCCACTTTGCCTGGGTTTTTATTTATGCTTTTCTCTGTCTATATTTCAATTCCCAGGTTTCTCACACACGACCAGAGGAAATTGCTTTTAGAATCAAACAGGAAATGCCAGTGGGCGTCTTACAACCCGCATCTGTATCTGTCTATGAATACTATGAACGTGAGTCTCATAAACATGTTACCTTTGTTAGTCTTCAGGTGTTCCAATCACTTCCATGGCTACAGGTGTATAAAAAAAGCGCCTAGACATGCAAACTGCTTCTGCAAAGATTTGTGAAAGAATGGGTCGCTCTCAGAAGTTCAGTGATTTCCAGCCTCTTACTGTGATCGGATGACACCTGTGCAACAAGTCCAGTCATGAGATTTCCTCAAATATTACTAAATATTCCACAATCCACTGTTAATGCTATTATAACAAAGTGACAGTGATGAGGAACAACTGCAACTCAGCCATTAAGTGGTAGGTCATATAAAATCACAGAGTGTGGTCAGCAGATGCTGAAGCACACAGAGGTTACTAACTTTCTGCAGAATCAATAGCTACAGATCTCCTAACTTCATGTGGCCCTCAGATTAGCAAGCACAGAGCATAGAGAGTTTCATGGAATGTCAGGAGCTCGGCTTGGCCCCTTATTTCCAGTTAAAGAAAATCTTAATGCTTCAGCATACCAAGATATTTGGACAATTTCACCATCCCAACTTCGTGGAAACAGTTTGGGGATGGTCTCTTCCTGTTCCAACATGATTGTGCACCAATGCACAAAGTATGGTCCATAAAGATATAGATGAGCAAATTTGGTTAGGAAGAACTTTACTATCTTGCAACAGTCTTCACCCCAATAGAACAGGTTTGGGATGAATTAAAATTGGAGAGTGTAAACTAGGCCTTTTTGCTTAATATTGGTGTCTGACCTCACAAATGCACTTTGGGAAGAATGATCAAAAAATCCTATAAACACACTCCTGAACCTTGTGGAAAGCATCCCAGAAGAGTTGAAGCTGTTATTGCTGCAAAGGTTGTGCTGACATCATATTAAACCCTATGGATTAAGAATGGGATGTCAGTCAAGTTAATTTCTGTGTGAAGGGAGAAGAGCAAAATACTTTTGGCAGTGTAATGTAAATAGGCACACTATGCCATTTTATTCGATCATTTTCATATACATTGTTATATCTACCATAACTGTCACAAAATAACAGTCAAATACTTGTTTTTTTCCCTCAATACAGAAACACGCTGCGTGAAATTCTACCATCCAGAGAGGGAAGCTGGAAAACTACTGCAGCTCTGTAGAGATAACATATGCACATGTGCTGAAGGTAAACACAATTATATATATAATCATATAAATCTGATTAAATAAGCTTATTTTAAAACTGTAATTAAAAGGTTTTCATGTATTTTTATATTAACTTTAAATGGTACAGAAAACACCAGTAGAAGTGTTATTAAAGTAAAGGTTTTATTTTAAAAGTCAAATTTTGAGCAAAAATCAGAATCAGAATTGCGTTTATCGGCCATTTATATGCACATATACATAAGGGCTGCCACAAATGATTATTTTGATAGTCAACTAGTCACTGATTATTTTTGCGATTACTTGACTAATCAGATCAAGCGTGATGCAAGCATGAGAAAAACTGATTCATGCAACTGGACAAAGAGCACAAGCACACAGCAAATCTACAACAGGATAGTTTGGACTAATGTCCAGACCCCAACCCATTTGAAATGCTGTAGCAAGAATATGATAGACTTACACATGGGCAAACTTAAAATTCTTGAAACAAAGTGAGACACGGATTTTAGAGAAAACAATTACTTATTACTGCTAAAGGTGATTCTGCAAGCTTTTGAATCATTGGGTATACTTTCACACTGCAGTATTCTGGCCTGTGAAAGCAGATTTGTTTTTCATAACTAGCTAGGGTGCTATTAGTAACTTTAGATGTATGCACAAATCTACAATTATAAAATCTGAAAGACGCCTATTTTGGCAAATGTGATTTAAAATTTGTTTTGCAGTAAATAATCAAAGGTTCATGTTAGAGACTGTAGTCACAACACTCAGAGCAGGAATTAAATGCTTACTGATATATTTGTTGTGTAGTTGACCTTCATATACCTGCAGTCACCTATCAACACACATGAATACATTAGCTTTGCATTTTTACCCTGTCCCTATTGTGTACTTACAGAGAACTGCAGTATGCAGAAGAAGGAAAAAATCCCCAATGATGACCGCCAAGCTAAGATTTGTGAAAGTACAGAGACCAGCAAAGTAGACTTTGGTAAACAAACATAAATGGGTTACATTTAGTTTTATTTAATAGGATATAGTAATGCAAAAAGCTAAAAACTATACTTTGGCTGCCCACAGCTTACAAAGTACTGGTTGAAGAGGTTGTAGAAGAGTTATCCACAGACAGTCACAAAGTCAAAGTGCTGGACCCCATCAAAGAAGGCAAGTACCTACGTCCTTTAAACGTCTATTTTAAGAGAAATTACTAGTTGTTGTTTTTTGTGGCATTAAGATAGCAGTGATGGTTATTTTCTATTATAGCCACAAAAAATAGGCAATTTGAAGGACAAATCGAGCATTTTATAAAACTGCTGCATGCTTTTGTACTAAGAGGTACATTTAGTGGTTGACACCATTTGCTATCAGTAAGCCAGATTAGCTTGTCTTGCTGATACCCATTTTCTAATTTAACATTTAATACTCAGCACAAGCATATTGCCAAAACACTTATATTACACATAAGACACTATTATGACGATACAACTAGGAATGTATATGGACACAGCAGCACTATGTTTAACTATAACTTGAGCAACACATTCAGTCATTCATAAATCACTGCTCTCAACTGTCATATCTTAATTACAGGGAGTCTTGATGTTGGTCCACTGAATAAACAGCGCATATTTCTCAGTTATCAACACTGCAGAGAAGCTTTAAGTCTGGAACAAGGAAAAACCTACCTTCTCATGGGCTCAGATAAAGATATTCACCGAGATGACAAAAAGAATACGTAAGTATATTGTTTGTCTGGCTGTGCTTGTGTGTGGTGTATATTTAAACTAATCTCAGAGTTCTATTCATTAATCATACCTTCAGTGAATAAATGTAATTAACTTGAACTGTGTATATTTATCACAGTTTTTTTATTCTGTATTTTGCTGATTGGTCACACAAACACTATTTTTCTTTCAATTGTTCTTTTCAGATTCGAGTACGTAATTGGTGAGAGAACCTGGGTTGAGTATTGGCCTACAGCAGAAGAGTGTCAGACTGACAAATACCGGGATACCTGCTTGGGCTTGGAGGAGATGGTCAATCAGTACTCACTCTTTAGATGCATCGGCTAGTAAAACAAAACAAAAAAATTCAAATTTTGTTATTCTGCTGTTTTTACAATTTTCTGTAAAACAGAAACCAATATAACATAAGGGTTTCACCATTTCACTGCAGTGATTAAAATGTATTCAAATGGGGTACTGGCTCTTAGTGTCTTTTGTTAAGTTTATGGTGGTTGAAAAATTTCTCGCATTTCTAATACATTTGAAATGTAACAAGCACAACGAAGAATAAAACTCTTGAAATAATAATAGTAATTTTAAATGCTGCGTAAGTAATTGTAAATTGTGTATCACTTTTTAACACCTTATATTTTAGAAATAGAAATAATTACACTGTAGTTACAGTTAAAGAGTGAATAAGTAATTCTAAGTAGTACCTAAATTCTGAATATTTTTAACAAAAAGGGGACACAAATTATGCTGGATGTAATTTTGTAATTTTAGGCTGTAAGCATAATTCTTTTGGTAATTTTGTGGAAAAACAAACAATATTTCTCCATATTACATTTTAAGAACACTGTATTTAGGGTGGCTGTAACTCAGGATGTAGAGCAGGACATCCACTAAGTGGAGGTTTGTTGGTTGTCTCCAATGCATCCATCAGAGTATGAATATGTGTGGAGGTTTAATAGAATGGGTGTGGATGACTGAATGAGTCATGCTGTTTGAAGCACTTGCAGTATTCAGATTCATTTTCAGTAAATTTACTTTTTGGGGCCATATTAGTGGTTGATACCCCACTGTGATGAGGCAAGCAGAAATTATAGCCACAAACAAAAACATCATATGCCCTGGTCCTAGCCTGTTTGGTGCCCTGGGCGAACACTCCCTCTGGCGCCCCCCCTCAACACACACACACATAAAACATATTAAGGATTGGCCATTAACATTAAAATGTTGTTTTATGAAACATACACACACACATATATGAAGAGAGAGAGTATGCATAGTATGCGAACAGCTACCAAACAGCCATCATAATTCGTCATACAATGAGAACAGGAAAAATCAACAATTAACAATGACTAATTAATATTAAAATCTGTAACATAATGTATTGTTTCGAGTTTAGTCTATTACTGTTACTATTTTTACCATTTCTTCTAGGAGCAGCTGTAGCCCACATAATTTCCTTAGGGATTAATAAAGTGCCATATGGAAAAGAGATATATATATATATAAAAAGTTTGTATCTGTCTTGTGTGAAACTTGTATGAAAAGCATACAAGAGTGAAAACAGATATAAGATCCCTTGAAAAATTATATAATGAAACTTGTATGTTTTGGATACTTACTAAAACAATATATGAAAGTAATGAGAAAGTGGCCACTTTCATGAGTAAATCATAGTTTATCAAGTTTTTACTATTTTTTTTTCCATATGGGGTATTCTGATTCTGATAGTTTCAGGCTACATAACCTGCCATTATCCAATCCAACACATCTGCTTACCTGCATCTTGTGCTCGTTTCTCCATTCATTTTCTCTTTTTTCTAAACTGAGCACCTGATGGCTTTGAACTTTTCTTGTCCATCTTCCATTGGTTTAAATTTTGCACTCCAGTATGAACACACATCCCCCAACATGGGGATCACCACAACATGACCTAATAGACCTACACCTTAGTTCACAGATTTACTTTGTCTAGGATGTATTTCAAATCAAGAATCCATTATGGGCTTGGATTTATAACATTATGAATGAAATGTGCTCTATTTGGAAGCAGCAGGGCCCCTCCCCTTTCGACGGGTTGTGTGTCAGACTTTAAATCATCAAACTGTAAACTGTAAATTATAAATTTTAAATTTTTATTGATCCCTTTACCCCTAGTTCTAAAGTGTATATTTATTTTCTTACTCTTCTTATATTTATTGTTTCTTTACTTGCACTGCTGTAAGTGGAGCCTCGTCGTCTCGTCTCTCTATATACTGGACTGTATGTAGCAGAGATGACACTTTTCGCGTATAGAATTTTGAAAAAGCTTGGGTGCAAATCACAAGTCTGTATCATAATGTCTGGTGTTTTAGTGTTTGTTGAACAATTTTACACTGTTAAAATGAATTATTATAAGTCTGACTACACTGTTAAAATGACACTAGTAGGGGTGCAACGATACTCGTATCGATATTGAACCGTT